AATGGTCGCCACGCGACATGACATCGTAGTTCACACGTGACAGGATCATATCGTGTGATATCGCGATGGGGTAATGTGGTAGATGGGCTTTCACGTAGTAGAATCACAACGACGAGAGAGAGAGAGAGAGAGAGAGAGAGAGAGAGAGAGAGAGAGAGAGAGAGAGAGAGAGAGAGAGAGAGAGAGTTTTCCATCGAGACACGGGTGAACAGGTAAGTCTCCAGTGTATGTGTGTGTGTGTGTATGTGTGTGCGTGTGTGTGTGTGTATGTGTGTGTGTATGTGTGTGTGTGTGTGTGTGTAAGAGAGAGAGAGAGAGAGAGAGAGATTGGATGAGATACGCATCGCTGAACAGCTAAGTGTCCAACCATTAGCCTGGGCTCACACTACTTGCATCAATTGCATCAATAGATAAACAAAATTGAATGAATCTTGCGACGGGGCACGGAAATATACCTACCACACGTGTGTGTGTGTGTGTGTGTGTGTGTGTGTGAGAGAGAGAGAGAGAGAGAGAGAGAGAGAGAGGAACGTTCATAATTCAACCAAGACGAGAGAAAGAGAGACTTGGTCGATATTCCCATCTTTTTTGGAAAAAAAAGAACGAAACAAAAAAATATTCCCCAGAGGGCGGGACATTGCCAGACGCTGAGAAATCGAATTTCCTCAATCATTGATTTGACAATATAACCCCTGGACACACTGCTCGCGTTTTTTTTTTCAAAAAATAATAATAATAACAAGCGGCTTTTTTTTATAGATAAAAGACAAAAGGCCGAAGCAAAAAACATGAACAAAAACACAAAAAGCAAACGCTGGAAACCTCTGGATTGCAGCCCCATAAAGCAAACACATAAGAGAATGGGACATGGGATCTCAAAGTAAAACAGTACTCGGCTGTCATGTACACCAGATAGGGAAAGAACGAGAGACAAAGAGAGACAAAAAGACAGAGAAACAGATAGATAGAGAGCGCAAGAGAAAAAGAAAGACAGACACAGAAAGTGACTGAAAGAGACAGGGGAAGAAAGAGAGAGCACCACAACATGTAACTCCCCGACAGAAAGAAAGAGAGAAAGAGAAAGAGAGACAGAGAGACAGAGAGAGAGAGAGAGATTGAATGAGATACACGTCGCCGAACAGCTCAGTATCCAACCCCTGACCTACCCTCACACTGCTCGCATCGACTGCATCGACGGTTTTTTTGGGCTTTTTTTTGGTTTTCTTTTTTTGGGGGGCGGGACAGAACGCTGCGATCGCAAGTGGGGGGGAGCAGGGGGAGCGGAAGACAGAACACAGCAACAAAAGAGGCCCTTCAATCGCAAGTGACCTCGAGATGTATGTCACAGAGAACGAGACAGAAAAAGAGGAAAAGACAGAAAAAGACAGACAAAGAAAAAAAGAGAAACATACAAAAATACAAACCGTGAGAAAAAAAGACAAACAAAGTAAAAAAAAAAAAAACCAGCAGCGATAACCTTTATCGTCCTGTACAACAAATACAATAAAAACATGTGAGGATACACAACTGCTGGCCAACTCTTTCAATTTCCTTACATTTATTTCTTCTCTGTTTCTTGCCTGCTCTTCTATTGTCCTTCCTCTTCGTGTACACTGTTTCTCGCAGCTGGACCGTCACGCGCTGCAGATCGGAGAGCGCATGCGAGACATACACAACGATAACACCGATTTAGAGAAAGACACATTGAATACATTTCGCCACACGTTAACAGCGCACGCGTGCATACACCGACCCTCATTACTGACCATATTCCCGTCGACATTGCTGCCCTTGGTCACAAAACACCGTGTGCACATCGTGCAACCGACAAATGGCAACACAAACATCCTTGGACTACCTTGTGCTGCCGTCGAGGCACAATTCGCCCGCCGCTTTGGCAATATCCTCCAATTGATACACCTGCTCATGAGATTCTCCACTTATGGGAAACTGACAACCCTCAAGGGAGGCTCCTTCGGTCACGAGCACGACAGTTCGATAATGCACTTGCACTGGTGTCACAAATTGTCCAGGAGCCGCATGCGCCACCAGGTCCATGGTCGGGCATGGTCCGAATCACAGGGCAACTCCACCACAATCTCGGCCCTTTGTTCCCCGAGCAACATCGCGACCCTGCGTATACGATCCACAGGATGAACATGGTGCAACTATTATACGATTAAGCAGATTTGACCTGCCGCCTGATATACCCCTCGCTGTTGTTCAACGTATTAAAACCCTGCTGAGCAAATTGCATCGCCTTCTTTCTATATGCAACGTGTGGGTCCGTGACTTTATAACTGTGTCAGAGCTACCTAAGGATATGATCCATGAACGTCATATTGTTATTAATCCAGATGTCCGCTCGACAGGAGAACATGAACGTCGGTACAACAAACCTCAAGGCTTGCGAGAAATTTGCTTACTCATACACGACGAACCGATTAATCGCGAAATAATAATACATCGTCGTGGAGGTGGCATTCGTTCAATTTCCGAAACAAACTGCGCTTTCGACCCGCTCCACTATGTGCTCCTTTTTCCCTCAAGTGAGGATGGTTGGACATCTGGCACAGATGACGAAGATAACCGCGACATTCGGCGAATCACCGCGGGCGAATTTTATGCGTTCCACCTCAACATACGCGCAACCGAACACACAACAATATTCCGAGCGTCACGCCTTTTTCAAGAATACGTTTGCATGGCCTATGCAAAAATCGAAAATGGTCGACTCCTTTATAACCGATTGCACCAAACTGAAATTCGCGCTGACTTTTGCCAAAACCTTCGCAACCACGCCATGCAATATGACAACGCCGAAAATGTTGGGCAGCGTGTCATCTTACCTGGCACGTTCATCGGTGGTCCGCGAGACATGCACCATCGATATCAGGACTCGATGGCAACCGTTCAAGAATATGGACCTCCTGATCTCTTCATCACGATGACATGCAATCCCCATTGGCCAGAAATTGAAAACGAACTACTCTTGAACCAACAAGCATCTGACAGACCTGACTTACTAGCCCGTGTTTTCAAAGGTTACTTGCAACATCTTATATCTGATATCCATCGCACACATATTTTTGGTCCAACAATCTCATATATATATGTTATTGAATTAAAAAAATGGGGCCTTCCACACTCCCATATCGTGATCACATTTGCCAATAAACACAAAATCTCAACACCGGAACACATCGACTCGATTGTTTCTGCGGAGATTCCTACCAATCCAACCCTTCATGACCTGGTGCTTTTACATATGATTCATAATCCCTATGGCCCATATAATATGCAAGCTCCGTGTATAAATAATGACCGTTGCGCACATCACTTCCCTAAAGATTTTTCCGACCGTACACTATGGAATGAAGAAACCGGTTACCCGATCTACCGACGTCGTGCTCCCGACGATGGCGGCGAGACTGTTCTCCGCGAACGTCACCAACTCGATAACTCTTGGGTTGTGCCATACAATCCATATCTCCTTCTTCGATATCGTTGTCATTTAAACGTTGAAATATGTGCTTCGACAGCTGCTTACAAATATATGTTTGAATATATCATGAAAGGTCCCGACCGAGCCATGGTCGGTGATATGACAACCAGCAATGATGAAATTTAAACTTTTCAAGACATGCGAACGATTGGTGATGCCAAAGCATGCTGGCGCATATTTGAATTCGCATTGTTCGAACGATACCCTGTCGTTACTACGTTGCCTGTCCACGCAGAAAACCGTCAGCGAGTGTATTTCCGGCAGCGACAAGCAGCACACCTTGCACACCGACCGGCGCCTGATACTGAACTCACTGCTTGGTTCAAATGGAATCATGCACATCGAAATGACGCTGACGCCACAAAACCTTTATACAAAGATATGATTTTCCGCTTTCGCTTCAACAAAAGCAAAAAAGAATGGACTTTACGTCGAAACGCCGTGCACACTATAGGTCGCATGTACACGATTCATCCGAACGCAGGCGATACTTTCTACCTGCGAATGCTTCTTCTATCCCCTCACTCTCGCGGTGCAACGTCGTTTTCACACATTCGAACCGTTGACGCAGAGGTTCACCCTACATTCCAATCAACATGTCGTGCCCTGGGCCTTCTCAACGACAACACACAATTCGACGTTGTTCTCCGTGATGCAATCTTTACAGCGTCTTCCACAATAATTCGCGACCTTTTCGTCCATATCGTTCTGCATTGCGCACCCGCTGACCCCAACGAATTGCTTGAAACACACATGCAACAAATGGTCGATGATTTCCACAGAAACCTTCGCGATGCTAATGTCGCACTCCCTATCATCAAAACCATGCTTTTACTCAACATAGAAAATCGTCTTCAAAAAGAGGGAAAACAACTCAAGGATGTTGGTCTGATGTCGCCGCCTATTGCTGATCGCGATGAAGCGAACCGCCTCTCTGAAAGACCACGTCAACATAACATTCCGCAAGTTATAGAAGATGAAATTTCGTACGATAAGCAAACCCTCCAACGCACTCTAGAAACAAATCTCCCGCTCTTGCGCCCATCGCAACATGCTGTCTTCCGCCGAGTTGTTGCCGCAATTGAAACTAATGAACCATGTTGCCTTTTCATTGACGCACCAACAGGAACTGGCAAAACCTTCTGCTTCAGTACAATCCTCGCATATCTTCGTAATCAAAATAATGTCGCGTTGGCTGTTGCTTCTAGTGGCATTGCTGCCACGCTGTTTGACAGTGGCCGCACCTTTCACTCCCGCTTCAAAGCTTCTCTCAATCCGACCGCGACTTCCACACTCGATATTCCCAAACAATCCGCATTCGCAGATCTCATTCGAATGGCCGTCATTATCGTTTGGGACGAGGCGCCAATGATACATAGATTCCATATCGAAGCCCTCGACCAAACACTTCGCGACATTTGTTCCTCTCAATCCCCTTTTGGCAACAAAATTGTCGTGCTCGCTGGCGATTTTCGCTAGATCCTTCCTGTTAATACCAAAGGAACACGCGCACAAACTGTCAACGCCTGCATCAAATCTTCTGTTGTCTGGCAACACTTCGAAATAATGCACCTGACCGAAAATATGCGAGTCCTTAGTCAAGTTAATACACCCGAAGGCCACAAATAATAGCTTCTCAAACTCGGCAACGGCGAACTGAACCCGCCGCCAAATGCACAGCCCACATCCATACAACTTCCTGCACATCTCTGCTCGACTGAAGGCACTCACCCGCTAATTGCTTGGACATTTCTGCATCTCCAAACAAACAGTCAGAATCCACAATGGCTGGCCGAACGCCTAATCCTCTCACCCACAAACAAATCTGCATCGGCCTTCAATTCTATCATTCTCGACCAATTCCCAGGTCCCTTCATCACATCACTCAGCTCCGATTCTCTGCTTCCCAATGAACAATATCCCGATGTCCCCACGGACGCTCTAAACGCAATTGACATCCCATCCCTCCCCTCACATCTACTGCGAATCAAAAAAGGAGCCCCTGTTATCCTCTTACGCAACATTGCCAAACGGTTTATGCAACGACACACGTCTCATCGTTGACTCTATTACAAATAACAGACTGCTCAACGCGTGTCTCCTCCCATCACTCCAATCTATCCTCCTTCCGCGTATTCTCCTCACTGTAACAGACCAGACTAGCCCGTTCCCTTGGCAACGTCGACAATTCCCGATTCGACCAGCGTTCGTGATCACCATAAACAAATGACAAGGCCAATCAATCAAACATGCAGGCATTAACCTCCAACAAGCACCATTTGCGCACGGTCAACTATACGTGGCTGCATCACGAGTTGGTGACCCTTCGCATATTCGTTTTGCAATCCCTTTGCACAACAACCAGACAACAAATATTGTTTACAAAGAGATTTTGACACAACACCTACAACTGACTACATAGACTCTATTAAATCCTATCGCTGACCCTTTACCCGACAATCACACAACAAATATTGTTTACAAAAAAATTTCGACATGGCACATACAACTGACTGCATGAACTCTGTCGAACCCTGTCATTAGCCACTTCCTCGAATTCCTACTAACTATCCTCGTGGTTTCCTTTTTTCCCTTGCAGGTTCTCCAGAAAATTCGCCATCACAAAAAAAACTCAAAACATCGTTGTCAGCCACTGTTACCGACCTCCAAGATCCTATCGCTTCGACATCCGACTCTGTGACTTCCCTCGCTGCATCTACTGGACTCGATGACGTCACACTCAGTCAAATCCCTCTCCCATCCTCGTGCCTTTCCACATCACAAATGGCTACATCCATCGCCACAACCTCCACACCAGTTAGATGGGATGCTTGGGTACCCCTCATTACTAAAGATAACATAGAACATATTATCGAACAACTTCTCTGGGAAGATTTCCTCGCGACTGACCATGCAGCTTTCTCGCCCTGCATATACGAATTCTTTTTGGCGTACAAAGACACCCGCTCCCGTTCTCTGCGACGTCCGGATCCCTCGCCCAATCCCAACATCAATTACGCGCAAACCAGATCTTTCTTGCTAAGAATCATCAACGACGATTACAATCGAACCCCTTCCCCCGCACGCCGCGCCCCCAATACCAATATGAACGCATCACCACAACCCACTACAAACAGTCATTCATCCGCTCTACACCGCCGCCACAACAACCCTTCCTTCGCCCTCACACTACACCTCAACCCGGCCCCCCCTGGTGGTTCCCGCTCAAACCCTGGCGCGTCACACGTGCAACATCCCTCATCCATGATATCCTTGCCTCACGGCACACATTTGCCATCTATAACATTCCTCACGAACCGCGCATCTGGGATTACCTCGACGACCTCATTTTCCTTCATCATCATAGCATACAACAACCGCTCCCGCCCTTCTCTATCTACAGAGCTGACATTGTCCACCGAGCTCTAACATACCTCCAAGCCCTTGATCCCGTGCCGCCACACTAAACCCTCTACAACCTGCTACAACAGTTTCCCGCCCCCTTCCAAACACAGACTGGACAAAAGCCTTACAAAGATGGACATCGAGAGAGCGACAAATAGCAGCGGACATGGCCGATCGTCACCGCCCCGCAAGAAACACAAGGGCTCACGGAGCATCCGAATTGACACCGAGGATCGACCACAAACACGAAAGGAGAGCATTTAGCAATGTACCGCGGAGGACACAATCGGGCACATATCAACCAGATTGAAGGACACAAAGAAACACGACGACAGTTGACCGAACAGACGGAGCTGCGACATTCGAGACCGAATGTCGACCTGTCCCTTCCAATATGCAAGCGCTTTCGAGTCACCTTCTCAACTGCGATATTTGTGACAACTAGAAAGAGAAAGACAGAAAGAGAGACAAAGAGAGAGAAAAACAGAAAGCGACGGAGAGAGAGAGAGAGAGACACAGAGAAAGAGAAAAAGAGAGAGAAAGAGAAAAACAGATGCAAACACTACAACGGGGTCGCGTTACTGCCGAGAGAAAACAGTGGACACAGAGACACACAGAGAAAGCGAGAGGAAAGAGCGACAGATACCGCAAAATTTTACTTCTCTTTTTTCGTTTCGATACGTTGACATTTTCAGTGCTTGCTTCTACAATTCTCTTTGTCTTTGCCACTCAAAACTCGCATTCGTGATTTTGTCATGTCCTTCAGTTTCCTACTATTGTCATGTGCTTCTTCTTTCAGTGTGTCACAAAAGAAATGACCCTTTCATCCCTCCCTCCGCGCCCTCTTTTGCACCGCGGGTCTACTTGTAAAATTAAAATTAAATATGTCATGCACTTATCAAGTTTGTCAATTTTAGAGTTTGAGAATTGTGACAAGATCAACAGAGAACGCAACATCATGCAATGCCAAAGAGAACAAATCAGGACTAACTGGCTCAAGGCAAAAACAAGATGGATGAGGGAAGGTGATAACTTATAATAATCTCAGAAAGTACAGATTAAAAAACAAAGTCACTCATCAATAGTCCTCACTCTCCCTCTAAGGTCTCATCCTCAATCCCTTTTTTCATCGTGGGTCTCTTATGCCTTCAGGCACGTCAATGCACCCCCTGAGATTGTGGTATACTAATATAGAGCCACCTAAAGCCGATTAGTTTCGAATACGTCCATCCAAGACCAAAGATTCTGAAGTCAAGCATACCACAGAACTCCTCTCACAGAGTAGGGAGATATGGTCTGGAGAAGATCCCTCGTCTTAGATGTCGAAACTCTAAAGGTTCAACCACCGCCTCATCATGAATCTCTGCCAGTGAGACATACCTCTTTTCCAGATTAACCAATTTACCCTTGTAAGAACCATCGATGAGGTAGAAAGGGACCGGAGGCCTAGGGTAGTCAGTGTATAACTTAGGACCAAAGTTATGAATCAACTTTGTTTCCTGTTGAAGCATCCTTGCTGTCTCCTGAACATACTGAGTTGTTGTAACCCAAACTGGATCGAAATGTGCATGTGTCTCTTTCATATTTTTCACATAGATCCTTAAGTTCTGGATAGTTCTTTCTACAAACTCAGCGAGGACCACGAAGATTGACAAATCTTCTTGCTTCAAACCAACTGCATTGACATACTGATGATGGAAAGCATCTTTGGAAGTAATCCTGTTGAGGTTGGTCAAGACTGTCTGCTGAACTGGAAAAGAAGTGATAACACTCATGTGTTGATATGAATACTGGAATTTATCTGATTGGTGTTAAATTCAGATCGAGGATGATCAGAGGAAGCCTGATAATAATTTAAATGACTGAATGTCACTGATGAAAGTTCGGATTGATTGATACAGATGTGAAAACTAGTTGAAAATGATTAACTGTTGATTGGTTTTGATATATGATGATGTATAAGATGATTGGAAGATGTCAAGTAACTGTCCACTGATAGCTGAAGACGGAGACAAATTCCAAATTACTAGATGATGCTTGCTGAAAAATTCGCTGATAGAATATTTGAGAGAAAAGAGTATAGAGTATTCACATTCATTTAAGTTTCGCCCTGCCTTGCTTAATGGTCTCTAGTGATGCGCCATTGTTGTGCAACTTGCCATTGCGATTGTGAAAGAAAAAGACATACTCGATTTATTTCTTCTATCCAATTCTCTGAACTGCACGCTCCCTCAAGACTGACTTGTGGAACTCCATGTCCTGATGGGTTTTCATCTCTCATCCATCATATTTATCCTTGTTAATTATGCATTTCACCACTAGAATTTCCTCATCCCTCATGATCTCTTCCCTGCTCTGATGGCTTACGTTTGGTAGGAAGCGGATGAAAAGGGTGTAATGACCAACAAGCTAGTAGAGTTTGCACGTGAAGAGAGTCTACAACTTTCACACTCTAGGTTGTTATGCGCTTCGTTTAAGATATTTACCAAAATTCCTCACTGTGTAGACCTGACTCTACGTTGCCAACATCAAGCTACAAGCAGTTTCTATCTAACCTTGTCTTCTCAACTTTCCATTTCATTATGACAGAAAGTACAGGTCATCACCGAAGTGTCCATGCTACTCATGATTTTTCCTCTCCTATGTGATAGAGATAACCTTTAAATTTTTCCAGTTGAGAAAAAGATAATTCTTCGTTCGAAAGAGTCTGGTTGTTGTGAGTCAACCATGAAACTTTTGTTATGGACCCTTCAACCACAAGAGTATGTTGCTGTAGTATCTTTACTGCAAGGCCTCACTCCAAATAGTTACACTGTTGAATTCACCTTCAGCCGAACGACTGAAATCAAAATTGCGATCTCGCAACGGTGGCGTGAAAATCCGGCAGCCAAGGACCATCGTCTCATCAGACGAAGAAGAAAGGTCTCGCAGCGGTGGAGTGAAAACCCGGCAGCTTAGGACCATGGTCTCATCAGACGAAGAAGAAAAAGCTAAGCTGAAGGATGCCTGTGCTGTTGAACCTGGAATCATCAGAGAGGCACCTAAACTCGAGGACATAATGAAGATGTTATCTGTAATCGCAAGTAAAATGCAAACAGTGAATATGAACACAGTGACGGTTGCCGAGGAGAAGGGAAAATGGAACGTCGTTGTAAAGAAAGAGGAAGGAAACGAGAGTGATGAATTGGACGAGGAAAAATATAAACTCAAGCTCAATCGTGGGAGTTGCTCGAAGAGCGATATAACAAAGGTTGGGATTGTGGAGTACATGAGCCAGAGACTGGATCACTACATGGAGATGAACGGAAGAAAAATCAAGAGCCAGTGCGCAAAGAGGAACATGAAGTGGGAAAGGAAAGACAAGTGTGCTTGGGAACTAGCGGAGCAAGACACAAACGAATTCACCAAGCCAGTGCATGGAGAAACAGGACATGAGACTGAACCCGAGGAAGAAGATGAGGAACCAACCTCCGAAGGTGATGAAGATGTCGACGATGTTATTGACAACTAGATCACGAAGAGAGGTCTACTTCATCTCCTTAGAAGAATCGGTGACAGGATTCCATCGCTGGTGGGCGAAACCCAGAGACTGTATGAAACTGTCTGTAGGATAGGGACTGTTCTCGCTTGTGCCTTAGGGTACTTGCCATGGGGTATTACCTATCTGAAGTATTGGCTAGGATTAGACTGAGATTGTTTTCTCGGTAGTCGGGATTGTTCGTCTTCCGTTTATGTGTTGATTTCACCATTTTGTCGGCAGACCTATGTTGGACAGACGAGTAGAACTTTGTCAGATAGATGGCTGGAACATGTTATAGCTCGAGCTGCGATGCTGTGTATAAGGTACATAGATGGTTAAGAAAGCAAGGGACGCATAGCTATACAACTATTCTCTTGCAGTTGTGCAAGAAAGACAAACTGAATAGTATTGAATCTAAGATTATAGGCGATGAGAATCCTAGGCTAAACTGCACGAAAAACAATCAGAGAGCTCCTCCGAGGAAAACCAAGAAGCAACCGAGAATAACAATTTTTTTCGACAAAGAATGGGCTCCTATTTCTTCTGGTAACGACCTTTCTAATGAATTTTACTTTGACCTTTTGAGAATGTTGAATTCGCTAAAAGGTAAAACCCGTCCCTTCAGGATTCGTAGTTTTGGTGGGAACAAATGGGTTACGCCTTGGAGGCTGATTAAACTTATTTTTTGAGAGTCGAAGTTTAAAAATGAGGAAGAGTATTTTCTGTTGAAAGACATGAAGAATGAATTTGAAAACGGAGGGGAACGGAATCTGACTTGCCTCTTTAAAACAAAAATTGAAGCCGCAAAGAGGAAAGGCGAAATGATCTCTCTCTTAAGAGCACCCTGAAAAAGAAAGGCAGTTCTTAACGGTAAACACTTCGAAGAATTATTTGTCATTCTAAAAAGCCTAAAGTGCATTAACACGAAACGGGGACGACATATCATACGTGGACTAATCTCTACTGAGTTGAAGAAAAGATTGGGACTTAATCCAAGACAACGAATTGTTATTAAGTTGCCCTTCGGTCCTACCATTGATAAAAAAAGTGAAGCTTGTGAATGGATGAACAAGAGGATTAGGTCGCCTGGATTATCTGACCTGATGCAGCGAAAGCTACGAACCGTCTGGACTAAGGCAAAAACCGTGGCTGCTCTACTGCATAATCATAGGGCTCACGCAACTAGTCCAAGTGTTGAATGTGTTTGCCACAGATTTCAACTACACAAGGAAAACGAACATGTTCTAGTCATATTAAATGAGGTTCCAAATATTGTGCCTTTCGTTCACAATTCAAGAAATATGCCTTATCCAGATCAAATTATGAATCTGAATAAAATTAAACAACTTTGAAGGTTCTCATGAAAATAGGCGTGAAGGACACCTTTAGGATATCAGCAACCACATTAACAAGACCTGCACCTGTCGTACTGGTTGGCGCAGTGTTAAGTGAGTATGTGTCGGGGTTGAAAGATGCACTTGACGGATTGGTGTTGTCCCCTATAGATTGAAATCATGGGGTAACACTTGTTAAATGTCCAATCCTATATCAAGATGGGACGAGATCTACATCCAATGACAATGCTGATTTTGAAAGAAAAGAAACAAGGGGAAAAAATGCACTAAAGGAGATGAAGACTGACTTTAAACTGGGGAGGATTGCTGGATGGGATTGCAAAGGCAAGCTTCAAAATGCGTTCATAATGAGCAAGGATAAGGACCTGAATAAAAAAAAGACCGATTTGCCCCTCGTTTTTCAGTCCTGTCAGACACTGTAATAGACAGTAAAAGTTTTGAATCTGCTCATAAGGAATACGAAACGTCAACATTTCAATATGATGGTTTGAAGCAAATTAAAAAACTCTTCGCACGGTGTTAATAAAAAAACTCAAAAAATGAACCTGAAAATCATGGCCCAGACATTTGATATAAAAGAAATATTTTCTAGGATCCCTCACGAAGAAGTACGTCGGGTTGTACGATGGATTTTATCGAGAGCAAGAGACAAAGGCAAACATTGGGCTAGAACAAAAAACAGAGGAAAAGGTGCTGTTTTGGGGAAGTCCACGGGAGAAGGCATTTGGAAGTCGGTTCAACTATACAACGTAGAGAACTTGGTCGATTTTATTTTGAAACACAACTTCAAATTACGTGGCGAAATCCTGAAACGGAACAGGGGCATCCCTATAGGGGGGCAAGCAAGCCTTCCACTTCCCTGCCTGGTTTGCATGTTTGCAAGAAACCAGCTGCTAAGAAGCCTAGGAAAATATGCTAAGATGTTGTTTGGGAACCGGTACGTTGATGACCTATTACTGATCGGGTTTTCAGAAGCCGGGAAGAGAAAGCTACCACTCGAATGCAAAAAATTAATACTTGCTATCACAAAGATCTGAGACTTGAACGGACTGACAACGGATACAATATTGTTGAGTTCTTGGAAACAAAAATCTTTGTGCTTGAGGAACCCCTAGAAATTATCTCCATGCACAAATCCAAAAATTCAGACAACATCTGGGAGGACCCCGAAAAGCCTAGGTATATGATTACAAGACTTTTCTCATCTTCTGGACCCAAAGAACAGAAGGTCGCGACACTAATGGGAACCATATATCGAATTAATGTGAACACAAGCTGCGAGGCTCTATTACCCTTTGCCATTAGAACCTTCCAACGAGAGCAGAAGGGTGCGGGTTTTCCGGGCCTGATGATTTTTTCCGCCTTAAAAAAGGTGGCCGAAAACTTTGGGGGTGTTTGGCCTCAGATGGTACAGAACATCGCCAAGTGTTACGAGGGACGGGTCTGATGTTTCATCACCCCTCCAGGTTTTATTTTTATTTTTATTTTTATTTTTATTTTTATTTTTATTTTCGTGTATGAACTTACCACACCAGGTATTGTCGACTTTCAAAACCACTAGAAACGGACGTCTGTCGGTTAATTGAATCTGGTGGATCATCCGCTATGCACGAGGCTAAGTTGTCGTGAGGTCGATTTGCGCATCCATATATCGGTCCTGAGAGGGACGTGGAAATACCTTTTGGCGTAAAGACAAGTGAGACAGAACCTTACCGGGTACTTCCAACATTTGTATCCTCCCATCACAACTCTGCTACTAACTTCGTCCCATCCCTCGTTGGCGAACAGCTTGCCTTGACTCATCCAGACCAAACCATGCTCTGTACGTTGGATGTGTCTGAAGCCTTAGAAAATTTGGAAAGTGAGTGGTCAAGTAAGGACCCTCGTGAATCTTGGGTGGCACTCAGGAAAGGTCCTAGAGGGGAGCATTTCGTTGTGGAAGTTGAGGTAAGAGGCCGCAAATGTGGTGCCTTCATAGACATCAGCTCCACGCGGAACTACATAAGTCGCGACTGTTTGGAAAGGCTGCACCTACAGGACCGGGTACAACACCTTAGTAGACCCGTAGCATCTACTTTGGCCAATAAGGAGCGCATGATTGTCACAGACTATATCAAGGATGTAGTCTGCACATTCTCCTATGGAGGAGGGGAACTTAATTTCGTTCCTGGTTAGCGACGACTTACTGTTTGATATGTTGTTAGGAATGTACTACCTTGAGGTTGCCAAGCCCCAGTTTGACTGGGACAAGAAGGTGCTAAAGCATAAGTTGCCTGATGGAAGAACAGTTAGACTAAGTTCAAAGCCAGTAGTATAATCGATACCTATGGCTGCTTGTGTGCATCAGCGTTCTATAACTATTATAAACAGAACCAAGAGGAGGGTATGTACCTAGTGTATGTCTCTGAGAAAGGGGCGACCATCAAAACACCCCCAGAGATCGAACACGTCGTTGCTAAGTTCCCTGATCTGTTTAAGGAGCCTACAGGAGTCGTAGAGAGGGAGATTGTCCACGCCATAGAAATCATTCCAGGAAGTAAAACCCCAAAGGGAAGGATCTATAGGATGGCTCCAGCCGAGTTGAACGAGCTTCGGCGACAACTGAAAGAGCTTACAGAGAAGGGATGGATCCGACCGAGTACTTCCGCCTACGGATCTCCAGTACTATTTGTACCAAAGAAGGGGGGTACCTTGAGGATGTGCATTGATTATAGAGGCCTCAATGCCATCACCGTGAAAAACGCAGAGCCTCTACCTTGCATAGACGACCTATTGGATAGGGTGCAGGGATGTAAGTACTATAGTAAGATAGACTTAAAATCCGGCTACCATCATATCGCAATAAGACCTGAGGATCAACACAACACTGCTTTTCTGACCAGATACGGTCTGTATGAGTTTGTAGTGATGCCCTTTGGCATTTGCAATGCGCCGGGTACATTCCAGCATGCTATGAATAGGATCTTCCATGACCACTTAGATAAGTTTGTCGTTGTCTATCTCGACGATATTCTTATCTTTAGTAAGTCTGTCGAGGAGCATGCACARCACGTTGAGACTGTACYTTCACTYCTGCGACAACACAAGTATAAGGTCAACCTAGAGAAATGTGAGTTCGGACGCACTAAGATCTTATACTTGGGTCATGAAGTATCCGCGGAAGGTATTAGGTCGGAAGATGCGAAGGTGGCTAGTATCAGGGACTGGCCTCGACCTCGGACTGTTACTGAGGTCAGATCTTTCTTAGGAATGTGCGGCTACTATAGGAACTTTGTAAAGAACTATTCTACAGTCGCCTCTCCTTTGACCGATCTAACTCGACTTAACACGCCGTGGGACTGGAGTGATGAGTGCGAGGCTGCTTTCAAACGATTCAAGCATGCACTCATGAATCATGAGGTTCTCATGGTGCCCGATCCTCAGAAGCCTTTCATCGTAACTACTGACGCAAGCCAATACGGCATTGGCGCAGTACTGGCTCAGCAGGATGGGAAAAAGTTGAGACCGATTGAGTATATGAGCAAAAAGATGCCATCAAAGAAACTGGCAAAGTCCACCTATGAAAGGGAACTCTATGCTCTTTACAAAGCACTTGTTCATTGGAGACACTTCCTGTTGGGACGGTTTTTCTACTTGAGAACTGACCATCAGACCCTCAAATGGATAAAGACTCAACCGACTCTTTCTGATGCACTCAAGCGTTGGATTGAGGTCATAGATCAGTATGACTTCAAGCTAGAGTATCTAAAGGGAGAGTACAACAAGGTTGCAGATGCGCTGTCACGTAGAGCAGACTACCTAGGGGCGCTAGTTTCTGAGTTTGGTGTATCTGAGGAACTAACTCAATTGCTGGTGGGAGCCTATCAGGAAGACCCTGTCACAATGGACATCATATGCAAACTTCAGGCGAAAGACAAGGCCACAAAAGATGAGTTTGTGATGGTGGACGGGCTTCTCTTTCTTGATAAGGCCGGTTGTAAAAGATTAGTGATTCCATCTAGTGAACGTTTGCGTAGTTTGTTTCTAGGAGAATGTCATGACGCAACCGGACACTTTGGTTACAAAAAAACGAGTGTCAATCTAGTACAGCGATTTTGGTGGCCTGGAATGCTAGATGACACAAAGAAGTATGTAGAGATCTGTCAAGTCTGTCAGCGGGACAAGCCGCGAACTCAAGCACCGCTTGGGTTGCTAAAGCCCTTGCCTATCCCCGATGGTGTTTCCGTGGACTTCATGGACACCCTGGTGACTAGTAAGAGTGGCAAGAGGCACATCTTTGTCGTCATTGATTGATTCACCAAATACGCTAGACTAATTGCCATGCCAGCGACCGCAAGGACTGACCACGTCATCAAGTTGTTCATGGACAACTGGGTGCGTGATTTTGGTTTACCAAAGTCAATCGTTAGTGACAGAGATGTCCACTTCACAAGTGAGTTGTGGAAGAAGACTGCTGAACAGATGGGCAGTGAACTTCAGATGACTTCAGGGAATCATCCCGAAGCCAACGGACAGGCCGAGAAGATGAACAGAGTTGTACAACACCTGCTGAGGCATTACATCAAGCCCAACCAGGATGACTGGGATGAGAAGTTGCCTCTCATCGCCAGCCTGTACAACAACGTTGTACACAGCAGTACCGACGTTAGTCCTAACCAGCTGCACTTGGGATGGAAGCCTAGATCAGCTCTGGACTTCCTCCTACCTGAAAACCGACCCTCTGCAACTCCAATCAATAAGTTGCCACGGTGACTTACTTCACGGGCGAGGACTCTGGTTCACGGTGTGCAGTATGAGAAGTTGCTGCAGCAAGTTGTCGAGCACCTCAAGAAAGCTCAGCAAGCAATGATCGCTTCTGAGAACAAACATCGTCGACAGTCCTCATTTCAGGTAGGGGAACGTGTCTGGGTCAAGGCTAGTGAGCTAGGACAGGAATTCGGTATCTCTCGCAAACTAATGCCTCAGTATTTTGGTCCATGGGAAGTCCTGGATATAGTTGGGGATGAGATGGATGGTCCTACCTATGTTATCCGTATCCCTGGTCACTTACGCACTCACCCTGTCTTTCATGCCTCAAAGCTTGCACCTTTCGCTGAGACAGATCAATTTCGTTCCAGGAGATCAATGCTGCCCCCAACCATGGATGGTCAAGTGGACATCGACGACATTGTGGATCACAGAGATCTGCCTGTTCCAAAGCCACTGGGTAGAGGAAGACCTCCAAAACCCAAGCGGGAGTATCGCGTCCGATTCAGGCATCATACGGATCCGAAGGAAGATCGGTGGTTCACCAGAAAGGAACTGATTGACACAGCTCCTCAAGTGGTGGCAGATTATGAGAGAATGTTAAAAGGGAAGGCACCTGCGAAGTAAGCATCTCAGCGGACTTTCGAAGTAAGGGGGATGGAATGTGATGATTGAGCCCTCAAGAAGGGGCCTTGCCATGATGTACATGTTCTGGGCTAAGGCCCCAGCAAGCCTCGTGCCCGCCCTAAGTGAAGGCGGACCAGCAAATCAACAAGAGCCCTTTGTGCAAACATTTCACGAAGTGGGGTCCATACAATTGCAGCACGCCAGTTGGTTGGAGTGCACCGAGTATCGAAGCTCTGCAAATGCAGAAATCCCAGGGGCCCAGAGTTGGTTAGGCCCTGGGCACATAAACGTGAGGCCGACATTGCATACTGGAAATAGAGGCCGAAAATGCCAATGGGATACCGGTCCACTATCTGAATCTGGACGTAGGCCTGGCAAAACTGTACTGCGTGGGCCCCAACCACATTGGGCCTGGGTGCAGGTACTAGGGCCCAGGCGCAGGCTCAAGGGAGGCCGCCCACATGCAACACTTGCATATAGGCAGAGAGGGCGAGTGGGCAGGGATCTTGGCCATTGCGGGCAATGTCGGCACGCGGCGCGAATGCGAGGTGCTGTGCTGCGCAGGCTGAGGTAGAGGCAGGCTGCGCTAAGCGGTAGAGCGTTGCCTGGGCGCAGGGCGTTGGCTGCCATAGCCGGGCTGCCTGTGGGCGCAGAGGAAGTGAAGGGCGAAGGTGGTTCTTCGGAGGTGAAGGGCGCTGTGTGGGATAACAAGGGAGAGTGAGGGTGAAGAGAGAGACGTACCTGGTGAAGAGGAGGTCGACATTGGAGTTGACATCATCACTCGGTGGTCGTCAAGTTGTCTGGTTGCTTTCATGCTGTAGTTGTAGTGATAGGCTGTAGAGTAGGTAGGGCGCCTGGCGCCATTCAAGAGAGAGAGCTACATTGGGTTATGTTGTTGGTGTTGCCCGATTGGGCTTGGACATTGACTCACGATTCTTCTGTATCGTTCTCAAATGGATGGTTACTCGGTTCCATTGTGCTATCTGCTCTTGCTCTGACTACTTGGACTTCAGTGTGATTTTGCAATCTGGATTTTTGTGCTTCGTCCACATTCATGTTCCTTGCATAATTGTCTTGTCTTTCGAATTTGGAAATGCAGATGAGCGGCCTAGACTGGCTTGACCCCTCACGTCTTAGTTGCCATGAGTGTGACCTGCTAGGCCTCACAATGTAGGACCCCAAAAAGGGGGCGACCCGCGACCGCTTTGGTAGGAGGCTTATCACCATCGCAAAAGGTCATACATAAGCCCCCTCTTTGCCATTGGACATAGGTACCCACTAGGAGTAGCCCGATGGCCTTTTTTGAAGGGAGGGGGGCGTCAATCGGTATCCCGTTATGGGACCACAACGCACCAGACCCACATGTCTTTTCATACCAAACTGGAAAGGCGGAGGTCGTAGGTCGTATAGTCATGTTCTCGTACCGACTCTTGAGTTTAAATGTAATTAATATTTTCAAGTAAAGTGTTATTACAATGTTTTCGAATTGTTACTTTTTATTGCATTTATTTTATTTGTGCCCGAGTTCCCTCGTTTAGTTCACGAGGACCGTGGCGCCTTTAAAGCATATAAAAAGATGGTGGCCAAATCACTCGACTATTAGTTGGGACTGGCTTATGGGGACGCGTACCATTGGTACGTTGTGCTATAAATTGGTATACTGGTGTAGGGAGTCAGAGATCTCGATGGCTTATGCACATTGTGTGCGAAGTGGGTAAATAGCCATTGGGAGAAGCCAAAAATACGCAGCTATGGCGCATTGCAATGATCTTCATGGCTATAAGTCGGACTGGTAAAGACTCCTGGGGCGCTCGACCTTAATGTCAGGGGAAGGGCCCTAGATCACGACAATTTAGAACTCTGACGGCGACGAGGCAAAATTAAAGATAAACGTAGAAGAGGGTAGAGAAGAGGAAATGAGTGAGGATCAAAGATTGTAGGGGGCTATTACAGAGGCAAAGAACCGAGCAAAAAGGAGGTGCAGAAGAGATGGGGTTATTGTAGAGGTTCAGGTGACAGTCTCATATCATGAGACTGAAACCTCAATTGGAACCACTGACCACGAGCAATAGTTCCTAGATCAGGACTCGGAAGCCGAGAATGAAGCCAGTGACGCGAGGACTCAGTCCTGGGAAGGGCTGGATAAGTGGCGACGAGACCACCCGCCAGCAGTGTCTGTGGAGGACAGGCCGGAGGCCAGCTCTCGACGATGCAGAGGCTGAGTTGTGAGGCGGTTACAAATGACAGAGAGAGTGATAGGGATGCGCGGGAACTGACAATGGGGACGAGCAACAGAAGTCAGACTTTCGTTTGAATTCTACGCGAGAGTGCATGGTTGGCATCACCTGCACCAACTCCCGGCTTCATTGGATGTCATGCGTGGCGGTCGACACCACCTCCATTTCTATGCTTTTGTCAGCCATAATGTGTCTTTCTAGTTAAGGATCGTCAGCTCTGCTGAAACGAAAGCTAGTTCAAGAAAAGAAGAGAGGTTGAGTCGCATGGCGGTTACGGGGTGACAAGGTGAGAGTTGGGAACGTTGTGAGTCATTAACAATGTGAGGTACAAATAACATGCGAAAGTGAAAGAGGTCAGACTTTCTGGGGAACACTCATTCGTGATCGACTACACGACGTCACCTCGACTATCCTCATACAGATCATGCGTCATTGCATGCAACCCAGGTCATTAAGGCAATCTCTACATTCTCGTTGATCAGGGTGGAAACACCCAAGAGAACAGGCGAAGGTACAAGGTTGTTGAAGTTGTGAGGTCGCCTTCACTGTGAAAGTGAGGAGAGGTAGCATTACGCTGAAAGGACTGTGGTGCAAGGTGATTGTGGACTTCAGCCCGTTGAGGTTTACGCATACGAATGAAACTTTAGTGGTGCTCGTGAGCGCAGAGTCGGACTCCGCATGGGCTTTCAAGATACCCTCGTGAGAGCCGAGTGAGCACTTGGCAGATGATGATTGTCTACCTGATGAGCGAACATCACTGAATGGTTACTTTTTGTCAGTGCTTCCATCTCAGGACGAATTGATCTCGAGTATCTCATATCTATTATGACTTGGCTTCTTGCTATCGGTCTCCTCTCAGAGTTTGTTCCAACTTGGTGATAGTCTCTGCTACCGTACTTACTAGTGGTTAAAAGTTTCCATGTTATCAAGAATTTTGATTGCCAATGGGTGTTGACTAATACAAGTGAGTTGGTGATGATGGAGTCTTGATGGTTTCCACCCATCAATGAGATCTCGAGTTCGGGGCCAAACGAGAACAGTGTATTTACAATGACGGTTCTTCGCTTGTGAAGCCTGGAGGACGAACAACAGAGGAGGAAGGGAGAAGGAGGAAGAAGGAAATTAAACAGTAGAACTGACCTAGCGGCCTATGGAAAAGGAGACCAGCTATTGGGTATAATGGTAAGACGAGATAAGGGATTTTGTGAGCATATACCTTTCATTCCTTCCTTCCTTCTCTTCCCCTCAAGTTTTGTCGATTATTCAGACTACTTTCGTTTAATCCAATAGACTCTCTCATCGTTCGCTTACTAACAAAAAAAAACAATTGATAATGGAACCCTGAACTACTTAGCGTGATTATCGTATCCTGGATAACCACTAAGTCATGTGCTTGACTCGTTGGGGGAACAAAGTCGAGCTTGGTTCTAGATTGGGGGTCGCAGAATCTCTGTACGTCCTCCCGTCTAATGTTGTGTTTCTGAGAGAAAGACACTCAGGGGGGAATCTGATCGAGTGCCATGAACCTCTCGGTGCTTTAGTAGAGTTTAACCTCTCGTTTTTTCGGGTGATCATTCAAAATATTTCAATAAAGGGAAAATCACTTCTCTTGGGAAATAGGCGAGACATTTTTGGTAAATGAGTGTTGTCGCTTGTAAACATTCATTTGACGACAAATGAGCAAGCGGGGAATCACGCTGAGCGTGATAGCATATCTCATTGCCAAGTTTCTTTTGGATGGGGACTAGCTGGACTCAACTGTATTACCATATTCATACTTCCATACAAATTTAATAAAATATAGTGGATAAAGTAGATAAAAGATTTAAGTTGGTGTCGCTACCAGTGAATGCTCTGCACCGCATATGGAAGGACATCATTGCTTTTGATTTCCAGTGTTGTGTGTGAGCGAGTATCAAAACCACTTGGTACACCATGTTTCACATGAACAAGGAAAATTGCCTCGTATGAAGCTCAACCTATAATTGTCATGAGAAGTACCCCACATGATAAATGGATAATGACTACACTTATCAGTTCTCTTTACGGTAATCAAGCGAGGAAATATTTTTAGCATTACTTTGTGTGGAAACGGAGTAAAGTGGCACTCTTCGCGATACTTAGATAAACGACGTGACTAGTCACGTCATGCACTGTATATCTGCAGGGGTTGTGGCTGGCCCTGTGTCGTGTACGGGTTGGAGTAGCGTTCTGCGGCATTTTGTATTATACATAGTGAGGGGTTGCGCTCAACCGTACATTATATGCCATTCAAGCAGAGTTTGACTGCTAATAGAGTCTGGTGTGATACTCGTGCTGGGCTCACCACCGACTTCATACCGCATGCTGTTTGAGTGGGGATTCAACCTTAATACTACGTGCAGTAACAAAGGCGGTAAACAATTGCTAGAAATATTATATGTCCTTACCATATGAGGTTATTGACAGTAGTACTTTGCATAGTATATGGAAGAAGATTTTTCTTTACCAAGTAAATACTCGTGTACTGATCGAGTAAGGTCTATTGTCAACGATAATTAAAGTATCAGTTTAGCACGTTTTATCATTAGTGGCAATCTTGACTGTATCTTGACTTGGGGCTAGCTTGAATCAACTAGCGCAATATTTGGACAGGGTGATACCTCTAGCACTACCGTGTGCATCAATCTGGCAGGCTCACTACAACACACATTTTGTGTACTGATCAGATAAGTCTGGTTGTCAGTAGTACTTAATGCACTGGCCACTAGCAAGGACTTGTATAGATTTGAGAAAATATAAAGACAATGTAGTTTAAAATTACATCTCACAGCATACCACACCACCAACAGTGTATGGATTACTCCATACTCCAGACCTTCTACTTCATCCTGCTCAAGTCTGTGTGTGAGCAAACGCTTTCTTCCTTTAAATACCCGAAAACTTAGTTCCTTCGACCTTGTCCCACCGAGGCTGGCACTAGGGCGTCCTTAGTACCAGGTCCCTGCACAGTGTCCTGTCTGAAAAACTTCGAAAAAACTTCAGAAAAAACTTTGCAAAAGCTCCACCACAGAAAGAAAAATACATGAAAAAATAAGTTATCTTAAGTGTCGATATGCCTTGGATGAGTAGACCATCTTCTCGGATCTTCGAGATCTTGATAAGGACAACAGCATCGCGCAGTATCTTATACCCCGTAGTTGGTATTTCACTCGATCCAATGAATCCGAAAAACACGTTGAGAGAACTCATATATGCTTGGAATTCATAGCCGAGTGGTTTGGGGGGTTTGAGTACATTTTAGAAGTAGCCGACTCCATGAGAAAGGTGCATATAAAGTGTGCCTGGTTGACTGAGGAGTTTTATAGACTCTCATTGAAATATGGGTCCTTCAACGGGGATAAAGCCGAGGAAGTCATCATCGTCCTAAGAATAGGCAGGTATGACCGCCTAGAGGTAGAGGCGGAGTCTTGGGACGCCATAGTTAGCCGGGAGGCGGCGGCTGCACCCTCCTACGTAGACGACGTCTTTAAACTATTTGAGGTACTGTGGTTCGACTGAATGAGGCCACAGCGAAAAGGCCTGAGTATGGAGGGTGCTTGTGAAGTAAGGTGTAACATAAGAAAGGGAATGTGTACATTAGGCCGTAGATGGTGCATAAGGATCGAAAAGAGGGGGAAGTGACAGCAACTGAAAAATGGGGGTCGGGTAGAATTGAACGTGTATGAGTTGGGGATAGCGGCAGGAACCAGTGTACGATAAGTAGGGAGGGTTGAAAGACTAAAACACGAAAGGCATGGAATCTCGGTGGGTGCAGCGATCGGACTAAGAAAGCCGGAAAGGAGACATTGCGAGATGGTCCGGCGAATGACGTTCTGGGCGGATAGACCTCGTGGGATCCTGCCACCAAGAATATCAGAGGGCGGGGTCGAAATAAGCCTGCCGGCGAGAAATACGGTAGGCAATCCGGTAAAGGACTGGGTGGGGGTAGAGTTGGTGGAAGATACGGTGTACCTAGTAGTGAAGCTAGAATGGCGGGCGAGAGGGGAGTTCGGGGGCGTAGACTTGAACCGCCCAGGGCGTGTAGCTTCCGGGGATGACCCCGTGCGAATGTTCGAAGGAGCATGGCAAATAACCTGGCGGGAGGGATTTGAGTTTGCAGATCCGGAACGAGATGACGTGACGGCTGAGGTAAAAGTCGCCGCAGCAGGGGTCTTTGAGCTGCCGAATGAGATCGTACGGATGAGTCTGCCGCCCTTCCTGCAAAGACGAAAGGGAGGCATAGAACGAGTGGAGCAGGCGGTAACTGCCATAAGTAGGCTAAATTTTGACGAAGCGATAATGTATCGAGAGTACTATCGGGCCTTTCTAAAGATGGGGCCTTTCGGGGATGAACAAGGGGGCGAGGTGCTTTGCATTCTACGAGCAACGATGAATACTAGGCCAGGAGTCCCGCAAATAAGTGATGAGACCATGTGGAGATTCATCCGGCGAGAGGTAGATCGGGGCGCGACCTACATAGATGATCTCTACCGGCTGTATGAACAGCCCGAGGAGGCTACTGCTCCCAGGGGTATAGAGGGATAGTTGGGACTAGAAAGGGAAATGAAAACACGAAGGACAAGGGGGCAGTAGGTGGACGGTTTCTAAGGATTGGCTGTAACACTTTCTATGTGGATCATGCAGGAAATCACCAAGGTAACCATGGCAGCAAGACGTGAGCATATGGAACTTCAGGCCCGTGTGCGAATGGCGCGCCAACCCCGGTCCCCCGGACCGCCGTGGAATAACGGTGGACGTTGGGAAGTATCCCTCCCGTCGAGTTCAACTTATCGGGGGTTCGATATAGAATGGTGGGCTGTGACTTTGGGGAGGGACGCCGCCTTCATGTTGGTAGAATGTCGGTGGATAGGGATGAAACTCGACCGAGGACCCGGGGACGATCTGTTTTCCAATCTGGAAGTTACCGGGACCATATATCTGCCTGAGATCGGTTGGCACTCGTTGGGGGTAGAGATAGCACAAGGTCACGAGCTGCCGCCGATTTTTCAAATGGCCGCCCGAACGTCGACCCGGATAGGACAATCAGTCAGGGGTAGAAGGAACGTGGGCTTACATACCCGGGTGGAAATGGGGGGATGGCGTGAATTCAGAGCGCCAACCACGCCGCTGAGGTGCCGGGTCCCCCGTTTTATGATAGATCTCGTCTTCGGGAGCCTCGCAAGGGCGCGAGAGCTGGCAGACTCGGCAATAATGTGGGCAGACCACTTTCCCTTTCTAACCATCAGGATGTTCTATGATGTCGCCGTGAGACATGGGAGAATTATCTAACGGGGGTGGCTCAACTATTCGAGGAGCCTACCGAACCAGAAGAGCCGCGAGGGCGAGAGCGGGACTAGCTTCCGTAGGTGAGTCAATAGGGCAGGTCAAGTATAGTTCGCTGCGTACGGAAGTTCGCCGACAGGGATAAGAGAGGGGCCTCGGACCCGGATGGCTAAAACCCATTAGGAAAACAAAGAAGGGGGTAGACTCCTAATGATTGACCACAACCGTGAAGGTCAAAAATTGGAAACACCGCTTGGAAAGACTTTTCCTAGCAGGATGCCTAACCCGGACTCCCTCGCATCGGCCCGACGGGACAAGGGCATTACAAACAGGCTTGTGATAAAGGAAGCCAAGTCACGCTCATAGCTTGGCTGAGCGGCAGGGCCAGTCGTGGCTCCTCCTTAAGGGCAATCAGGAAACGAGGATGGGAAAGGAGGCTATACAGATAAGCCGACAGGGCTGGGATAGGAAACCTAAAATGCCTCGCATTGCGTGTGTCCTGGGAATTCTTTTGCTTATGCAGAACTAGGCGAAATGGCAACGGAGGAGGAGACAGATAATCATAAGAGTGAAGAAGAACCGGGCTTAGGAGGCCGTGCCGCACAAAGCGAAGGGGGTCAGAAGGACAGAGAATCGATAAATCCGGATGGTACCAAAGGGAACCGGAAGGAGATCTCCACAGGGGAAAACTCAGGGAAAGTTGGGGGAAGCAGGCAAGGGACTCAGGGGACCAAGGAAGGCAGGAATAAGGATAGGACAAACCCCGGGAACTCGGAGGGAGCCGTGTCTAAGAAAGTAAGAGTCACGGATACGAGGCGCAGACTAGCCGAGATAGACAAAAGGACCGCGGAATACAAGGCGAGATTGATTGAGGAAATGATGACTGGGAACGAAGAAGGCTCTCTGCAGGAGGAACCCCGGGACGAACGACGAACCGGCCGAGGTGGGACTAGACCAGGGGATAAAGGTAGTGACTGTGGGGGAACGCCGAGCAAAAGAAGGACTTCGGGGATGGACGCGGAAAAGGCTACGACCCCGCCAGCCATAGATAGTAGGGCTAGCCGCCTGCCGACCGCGCCAGCGGTGACGCGAGGGTGCGAAGGACTCTGGAGCCTTAGGGAAAGAGTGTTGGGATGGTTTGACCCAGAAGGAACTATGAAACCAGGGAGGGACAGAAGGCCGGCGTTCTTCACGCCCCTTAACCCATAGGTTCCCTAACCTCTCTTGTACTCGACCAATCATTCAATGCCATGGTTTGCTCGTCAATCCGTACTCAAGATTTTCCCCTCTCAAAAGCATAATCCTTGTTCCATCCAAAATTCACAATACGCCCTCTCCCAATTGGTCTCATCCCAAATCCCATGTCTTTGTCTTAGGTACCCAAAGTAGCTCATCCAAAGGTAGCCTCAGCAACTATCTTCTACTTTAGYGTGACACAGCCTTAGCTGRCCCTCTTTTCACTTCCTCCTTAGTAAGCTTGTCCATATTATACACGTTCTCGTCATTCTCATATCTCTGCAGACAGAAAGCAGCGATCCTTTTCAATGCTAAGTCAACACCTAGTTCCTATTACTGCCTTGCGCCTCGTCTCGCCTAGTTCCTTGTCCACTCCGTTCCTCGACAGGCTTCCTAACCCCCAGGCCGTAGGTCTCGATCTCTCTTTTCATCCTTACAATTTTATGCAACTCAGCCTCGTTGAAAAAATCCAGTGGTGTGGCTTCCACCCCTGCCCTTGCGAGTTTCCGAGTCTTGATAATCCATTCGTGCTTGATTACATTAGTCCATTGCTGAAACCAATGACTGGGCGTTGGCCCGAACTTGTCCTCCCATCTGAAAGCCCCATCGCCTGGTTGGTGCATCGGAGGCCGCCCCTCTTCCCTAGGCCTTGAGATCTCATCCCTCTCATCCCCGCTGCTGATTTCTATGACTTCTCGCACATCCTCCTCGTCGTCCCCCTCGTCTTCAGTCTGTATGGGGCTATACCCACCAGCAAGGTTCTTTGGATCGTAGGTAAAAGGGATCTCTGTCCCCGTCCCATACCCCTCGCAACTGCCGTGACCGCTTCGTCCTTCAAGCGGGCTCTCCCTTTTCTCCTCGTCCTCCTCACGTTCGTCGCGCATACCTTGTCCCCCCTCGCTTTCCCCCTGCCAAGTCTCACGTCGTTCGCCCCTGATGGCCCCTTCCTCGTAAGAGACCCGAGCCTTATCTCCCATTTCGGTGTTGCCTCCCTCTTCCACATTTGCCCTTTCCTTTTCGCCCTCACTGTCGGATGATATTTATATACCTTCTCCCTTGCAGAGGGGTGAGGGTTTCCTACACAAACATTTCATTCCACCCCTGCCTACCACTAGCCCGCCCATGAGCCCAATGTACAATTTTCTCTTCGTTGTCCTCCTCCCTTGGCTTGGTCCAGCTTCTTCCCCTCTGGTAGGCCTGTTGATTGCCCCGCTGTCGTTCTCGTTGTCGAATTCCATTTTTGTCTTTTCTCATTTTACTCCTAAGCCCTGTATAACAAAACAACACCCGCAATGTCCCTCATACACTTACACCTCCCCTCCCCCTTAGGCCGGTAGACATTCCCAAAATGCACCCAGTATCCCTCGCATCACGCCTTTTTTATACATGCGAATGCGTCGTTCGTGATGACCCCATATTTTTCCCGTAAAAAACTATGGTACAATGCCCCAAACATCCCTTCCCGTTGTCACACAAGCCAGATATTGCAACCCCCAAGTCATTCTACCTTTCAACCTCAGTCAGTCCAAGCCAAAGCACCAGTCCCCAAAAAAATAACAGTCCCACGAACATAGTCAGAGACAAACCATAGTGTGGGCAAGGCTGTGGTTAGTCTTTAGCTTGTGGCTCTTCTGTTTCCTTATCTTCGGTCTCCTGAAGCCATTGTTCCACTGGGTCCCGACTTAGAAACCTGACCAGTCGTTGCCCCGGGAAGGCCCCTTTCAATCCAGTTCCATCCAAATCTTCCAATTCGAAGGTGTTCAGTCCCACCCGCTTGGCGACCCGGTAGGGGCCTTTAAACCTCCTTCCCAATTGTCCCGACCAAGTACTTTCTAGTGCTGAGTTCCTTAGCAGTACCATCTCCCCCACCTGAAGTGGCTCCTTTCTGATATTCTTGACCTGGTCCCATCTTGCTTTGTCCCTCATTCTGCTGTCCAACACCCGGCTGGCGATGTCTTCTATGACTTCCTCATTCTTAAGGATCTGTTGACATCTTGCCTCGATTAACTCTTCAATGGTCATTTGTGGATCATTATCTAACCTATTCCAGGTAGGTACCAAGGCTTCCACAGGAAAGTTGATCTCTCTTCCGTACCAAAGCTCTGCCGGGATACATCCTGTTGTCCTTTTACGAGTCATATTCTCTGCAAAAACAGCCTGCTTAAGATACCTAGGCCAGTTCCCCAGATGGTCTGCTGCGAGCTTTGCAATCGTGTTCTTCAAGGTTCGGTGCCCCATTTCCACCGGCGCATTGGCCTCAGGGTGATACGGCTCGATGAGTTTGATCGGTACGCAGAGTCTCTTAAGCGTCCCCAATACTTCTTAGTTCACAAATTCCGTCCCATTGTCTGCTATAAACCTCCTGACGAACGGGTGCCTTAAGTAGAAGTCTTCTATCCAGTCCGCCACACTCCTCCCTGTCTTTTTCTTGAGGGCGACTGCCTCCACGAACCCACTCAAGTTGTCTCGCGCATCTAGGATATACCTGTATCCATCCGTTGATACAGGCATGACCGCAAGGTCGAGGTGGACCAGATGTCCCGGCCCTAGCACCCGCGTTGGTCTAAGCGGCTCGAAGACTCGTACCGAGCTTCGTTATTGGCAAATAAGGCAAGTCTGGCAGTATATGGCGACCATGTCTGCCATGCCTGGGCAATAATAGAGCGGCGTTATATTTGCAAGTGTTCCTTTGGAAGATCGATGTCCTCCCGCTAACCCGTCGTGCATTGCCTGGATAACGTCTACTTGCCTAGACCTTCCGCACACAACCCTTCTGGGCATAGCACCTTCCTCCCTCCGGAACAAATGCCCGCCCCTTAGGACGTACCTTTCGACTTCTTCTCTTGCCTGAATACTGACTTCCGTAGGTTGTTTGTTTCCTACCAACAACAAGCCGATCTCCCGAAAGAGCCCTTCGTATGATTGGACATAGAAAAACTCCTCCCCTTCCTTGCCCCCATCCTTTCTTTCCTGCATCTGATTTACCACCCATTGCAACTCTTTCCTTTCCCAAGATTCCACTAAGCTCATCACTGCTTCCCGGCCCTCTTCGACCGCCATTGCTATCAGCTCCTCCTTCGGTCCTACTATCGCTCCCCATGAGTCCTTTTCTTCTCTGCGTCCTCGAGTGGTAACTGGACCTTCCCTAAGTTCAGCTACTATGGCAGGTGCCCCCTTCTGCAAAGTCTGGATCAATAGTTCTCCCGATGTGCATCCCTCGCTCATCATTTCGTTATCCACCGCAAGAGTTCCTCCTTCGTATTCGAGGAAGGCGTCTATGGGCTCTGCATCCTCCATTCCTTCGGAAGTGATGCAGACCCGACTCAGCCCATCTGCCTTGTTGCGGATTCCAGCAATCCGTTCGATCTTGTAATCGAACTGCCAGATGAATCCTACCCATCTCCCTACCGTTGGATCTATAGGCCTGTAATTCTTTAGGGCCCCTGCGACATTCGTCGGATCGATCCTTAAGATGAACCGCCTCCCAAATAGGTAGGCCTGGAAGGTCTTAAGGCAATGCAGGATGGCTAGGACTTCCTTCGTGAATTGCGAGTACCGCCGTTCTGCGGAGTTCAGGGTTCTATTTTCGAACCTAATCGGCCTATCTTTTCCTCCCTCATCCCTTTGAATCAACACACCTCCTACGGCCAAAGGTCCTCCATCCATCTCTAGGATGAAGGGTCGTCCCACTTCGTCATTAAAACAAGGCGAGGACAGAGCGACTGTCTCAGATGTCAGTATGTCCTTGAGCCTTTGGACAACCCCTTCTCGCTCCTCCGTCCAATCCATGGTTCCTTCTTCCCTTATCATAGCCCGGATAGGCTCAACAATCTTGGCAAAGTTCTTAATGAAGATCCTCCAAAAGCCGACTACGCCTAGGAATGCCCTTACCTCCATCGTCCTTCATTACTTACTTCCTTTTATAATTGCAGGTGCTAGTATTCTTCATATTGCTGCTTTACATCAATATGGTTCCAATAATCCATTGGGCATAAACTCTTCTGTAGATAAAATAGCTTGCGCGCAGGCCACCGTGACATCTTGTCGGTCTTTGCCGGATCCAGCTTCCTGCCGTAAGCACCGCAACGAAATCCTAGTATAGTTATCTCTGGTACTGCTAGGATACTCTTTGGTCCACTAGCCGTAATGTTGTATACTAGGAACCGGCGGAGTAAGTCCTTGATGTCCTGCAGGTGGTCCCACACAAAACGTCGGATCCCTGGATGGACTTCCGTCTCGTCCTTTTTCTGCGCGCCTTTGATCGGATTGTCATCGATGTAAGGTTCACATTTTTCTGGGAACATGTCCCCGGCCACGGCGAGCATCCTGCGTTGCGCTTCGGCCACCGCGTTTGTGAATCCCATAGGTGTCACCTGCATCTGTAGCTGGCCTACGAGGGTGTGCATAGCGGTGTATGGCCTGTCCCGAACATCCAATGGAAGTTGGTCGTACCCTGAGTACAAATCTATCAGGGAGTAAATGCTCCGACCGGCGTGCGATTCTGCTAATAAGTCAACCTGAGGTAGCGAGACAGCATCCCGGATGGTTACCGCATTCAACTTCTGCAGGTCCTGAATCCACCTTAGTGTCTTGTTAGGCTTCCGAAAGACGAACCACCGATTTGCGTATGGCGATGCCGTAGGCTCCGCAATGAAGGAGTCCATCTTCGCTCGAAGGAGGTCTGTTACTTCTCCCGCTATCCCAAATTCATAGGATGGCCCCTTGTCATTCCAGCACTCATGTTCTACCGTGTGGATTCTGACCAGAGGGATCAACTTCGCATCCAGTCGTCCCTTCTGGTGATCACTAAAGGCAAACGCCAGATGAAATTCCTGGCAGGTCCTTTTGATCAGGCGGTTTTCTTCTTCCGTTAGGAACCCGTCTATCCCTATCTTCATTGTGTCCGCTACCTCATCTGGTATCCGATGTCCCTCCGTCGCCCTTCTTTCTCGGATCACTCGAAGGACCTCTTCCTCCTTCTCCATAGCCTCTTCCCTACCGGCTTGTACTTTCGAACACTTCCTTCCGGGATCTTTCTCCTAAAACATGAAGAGTCGGAATTGCCCCCGTCGCCTCTATGACTCGTGGTTGAATACTAACTAGTTTCCCATTCAGGCAATATCCCTTTTGCACCTCTCTTTCGAACTTGGCCAAGGCTGCCGAATCCACTCCTACCTTGTGGTATCTGAGGGCCTTGATGAGTTGCAATAGATCGGGGATCTCGAGTGTGATTTCCGGCATGTCTACGCGCACTTCTTTCCGTTTGGGCAGGCTAGCACCAAGTTCGATCTCTGACTCCTTTTCTGCTACCATAAAACCTAGGACTTCGTCTTCTTGCCTCCTCTTCTTATAGGGCAGGCCCATCTTGATCCACTCCTTCTTGTTGAACGCTTCCTCAATCATGATTTCTACCCTTCTCTCATACCCTCCATCCGTGCGAAAGCCCCTTTTCGCGTGCTATCCTCGAATGACGGCGACCATGTTGCCAATTTCCCCCTCGGCGGGTCTCCTCCCGTTCCAAGGAGTCAGAGGAGCTCTCCCCGGCCGGTCACCGGGTCCTCTATGTCTACCATGTATGAGCCATCGTGCAAATGCATGCCTATCATCTCCACGTTCGCGCACCACGGTCTCCCGAGGATTATGTCGTGATCCATTTCCTCCATTACGGTCATCCACTGAAATGACCAGATTGATTCCCTGACTTGTGCCTTTACAGCACACTTCGTGACGTACCCAACGGACGGGATTTCCCCGCCAGCTCCCCGGATGCTCCCTGTTACTTCCTTGTTTACCGTACATCCCGTGATCGTTGCGAAATCTCTTCTTATAAGGGTGATTTCTGCCCCCCCGTCTACTAATGCGTCGGTGTGATGACTTTCGATCTGGATTTTCAATTTCCCTACGGGTAGCGCATGAAAACTAAGCTTCGTCCCGGGTAGCGATCTCATGACTTCGCCGCCCTCTCGGTCGGGCAAGCTCAAACGAATATCTGCAAAGGCCTTCTCAAGATCCTCCAAGTCCCCGCGACTCCTCTGCAGGTTAGCCACTTCTTGCGGAACTTCCTCCTCCCTCTCCCCTTCAGGTAGTTCGGGGTTGTCGCCTATTTCTACTCGCCGCCGGATCAACAGTTGTCTAAGCCCTTTGAGCAACCTAGGGCTAGCCTGCAGCATAGTCTGAAAAGACACCGACACCATGGTCCCTAGTAACTTGCTAATGGTGTCGTCGATCTCAGGTAAGGATAAGATGGGGATTTGGTACCTAAACTTCTTCTTGGCATCGGAAACTTGTCGGCAGGCTCCTCTTCCCTAGGTTTCCCATAGACCTTTTCCGGTTCCTCGACCTCAGGCTCTGCTTGGGGTTCCGAACTTCCAGCAACCTCCTCCATCACGGTGTCGCGGTTAATCCTTCTCCTAGTCGTCCCTAGCTGAGTAGTCGCGCTCACCCTATCACGTCCGTCGTTTTCCAAAATAAAATTGGCTTGCGGCCCGCGCCCCTGGCGTTGATCCCAGATGATCTCGCCCAGCGGTTCGGCTTCTACGGCTGTTATTTCTAGCCCGTTGAGCATGATAATGGCTCGCCGCATCCCTCCTGGCGAGTTCCAGTTCACCCGTTCCCCTCGTGGTCCAAATATCTCCCCCTTTAATGACCTGGTACACCTTCTTTTCAAAATATCATGGTTGATCTTTGGGCATGCGCGCACATAATGTCCTATCGCGGTACAGTACTTGCTTTGCTCGTTAGCGGGGTCTCTCCGTCCGAACGCACGATTGGCCACTCCTGGAGGAACTACTGCTTCCTGGGGCAGGAGGGGGGGACGGGATACTTGCGCCTGCATAACTAGTAACGCGCTCTCCATCCTTTCAATCTTGTTGTCGACTCCGTACACCCGTTCGTGTAGACTTTCAATCCCCCTTTTCACCTTGTCGCCCGTCCTACTGGTCAAGTCTATAGTCTCCCCTTCCTTAAGCAAGGCCAATGTCTCGGTCACTACCGTCTTTTCGGCCAGATCCGTTACCGTACTGAAATCAACGTCCCTGGTGTTTACAAATTTGCTTGTCTGTTGGTAAGCCGACAAAATCTTGTCTTTGTCGAACTCGGAGAACTGTCTGAGGAAATACTTATTCATTATTCGATCCGTAGCCCCGGGGATTCTTAGTGCTACCAAAGTAAACTCTCGTAGGAAATCATTGTACGTTGCGAAGTTCTTTCTCTGGACTGCTGCTAAATCGGCCTCCGTTGCCATCTTTTCTGCTGCCAGATACTTTCTCATCATCACATCCCGGGTTTCTTTCCAAGACCGGCTTGCGGCTACGATGGCCATTATGTCCCGTCCTAGGCTCAAAGACACATGAAACCTGAGAGATCAGGAAGAGTGAAAATTGAAGGGGCGCTTTTGTCTTTTGTTATGGATGAACGGCCGGGTGGGCTAGTGCTGCTTGGGGTCGCGAGGCCCAACTCGAGTGCTAGACGCTAAGTCGGGTGTACACAATGGATGGTACATTACTGAGAGAAATGGAATGGATGGAACATTACTGTGAGAAATGGAATGGATGGTACATTACTGTGAGAAATGGAATGGATGGTACATTACGGTGAGAAATAGAAGGAAGAGAATAGCACGCAAAAGATGAGATGGCCACCTTCTAACCTCCAAGACAGAAATGGGATCCGTAACCTCGAGGCCCACCCCCTCGGGCACTAACATTGAGAATGGAAATGAATGGCCCTAACCAAGCTATTCGACTTGAGAATGGAAAAGAATGACCCTAACCAGCCTGTTCAACTTGAGAATGGAAAAGAATGGCCCTAACCAGGCTGTTCGACTTGAGAATGGATAAGAACGACCTTAACCAGGTTGTTCGGGAATGGCCCCTGACAAGGGTCATTCCTTTTGAAATAGGCACTGGGGTCCCCTGCATATTGAATTGAGAAAGGTTGATTGAGAAAGGCTGATTGAGAATGTGCTGGAATGAGAGAGATGGAAAAGGCCGATGGGTGGATCATTGAAAATAGCCAAAGGATGGATGAGAGAGATGGAAAAGGCCGGTGGGTCGGTCATTGAAATAGCCAATGGGATGAGAGAGATRGGAAAGGCCGGTGGGWCGGTCATTGAAATAGCCAATGGGATGAGAGAAATDGAAAAGGCCGGTGGGTCGGTCATTGAAAATAGCCAAAGGATGGATGAGAGAGGTGGAAAAGGCCAGTGGGTCGGTCGTTGAAATAGCCAATGAGTTGAATGGAGGAAATGGAAAACGCCGGTGGGTCGGCCACTGAAAATTGCCAAGGGGGCGAAAGGAAAATGCGAAAGAGAAGGACAAGATAAAAAAGGCGGAGCCTTAAAAGCCGAGAAGCAAGGCCTGAGCATCGGGGAACGGTAAAGGGAAAATATGGATTGCACGGGCCAAAAAGTAGATTATTGTTTTTATAAGAGTAATGAATGAGGCGAGGCCAAAATGGTTTCTGCTCGAGAATGCTTCCTCGATGAAATGGGAAGACAGATTTGAGATTACGAAGCACTTAAGGGGAGTTGTGCCTGGGCTCACCGATTCGAAGTGGGTATCACCACGACAAAGACGACGGTCGTACTGGACGAACATCTCCCTTCCGGAGCAAATGCCTGACATTGAGTCGCATCCAAAAACTTGCCTACAATTTTTTATCAACACAGTCAAGGCATAAAATGAGAAAACCAATTGTGTTATGACAACAAATTGTCATCTGGGAAATAAAGCCAGCATACCAGTAGTTAAGTGCATGAAGCAAGGAGAGCCCCGTCTACCCCATGTTACTGAAGTTGAAAGAATTATGGGCTGCCCTGCTAGGTATACAGAATTGACTGAAGAGGTAGTTCGCATCTCAATTGAGGGAAAGATAAAGAGGCAGAGCTATGATGGAAATGAGCAACCTGGTCTAAGTTGTAGAACCTTCGACTCCCCCATACCCTCCTCCACCCCAAGGGGCGGAAGCTAAGGAAGACATTGAGAAAGGAATGGGAGAAGAACAAAACGGACCCTGGCAAACTAACCTCCCGTAACACCTCACCCTCCTCTCCCGTTTATCCCTCC